CCCCAAAACCCCAAAACCCCAAAACCCCAAAACCCCAAAACCCCGCGATGCCACAATAAAATTGAATAATTTCTTCTTACTTCTCACAACTAAATCTCACCATAATCTGTAAATCCATTAGAGGCCCTTCTGTTACTTGTTGAGGTATCTATTTTCTCTTCTTCAGGGTCTTCATCTTCAGATATAGCTTCTTGTATCGGATTGGTCATCCCAAAAGTACTCTCTTGTTCCTCTTTGGAAGAGTATTTCATAGAAAAGTTCTTTCGAGAAGTCCCTCTCCTAATCTCAGTTTTATGCCTAATAATTTCTTCGAATTCTTTATTATTGGTTGTAAAGCTAGTGCTGACACTGACTAGTCTCCTGCTCCTCAAGACGCGCTGGGGCTGTAAGAGGACACTATTAGATACAGACATTTTTCTACTGCTGGAGCTCTTCTTTTTCTCAATACTAAAGCATCAAGCTTGAATCTTACTCAGCAAGATTCTGTTTATTTTGTTGCAAGATATTCTTGAATATATTAGAATTTGTAGATCTCATTTTGACAAGGTACCGGTTGGAGTCAGTAATTGTCTTATTAAAATTCCTATTCCAAATGATCGTCTTCATGAAATCTACGTATGAACTACAAACTACCTACCGACTTCGAAATTAGCCCTGTAAATCTGATTTACATTGTTCTCTAGGGGTTTAAACAGATATTTGTCGTAAATCTTGGTTTCCTTCATTTTGGCAAATTTTTCATTCATTATTAAAAAACATTTTGTAGTTCAAAGTAACAAGATTTGATGGTTCTCAGGCATATCTTTGAAATCATTCATTTTGTAATCATGGTTAACACTAATGTCTTCTATTTTGATCGAATCTAAGTTTCAGTTGGCAGAAAAATGCTTTTTCCTTCTCTTGTGAGCATCTGCATCACTTTTTGCTAGTTTTGTGATTTCAGCTGTGATTTGGTCTTGGTTAAAGCCATTCTTTTCTTCTGGTTCGATAAAGCTATCTTCTTCATTGAACTCTTTAGCATTTGATATTGACATTTTTGCTCTCTTCAGTAACTTAAATATTTCTCACAGGATATCAGTTGCTTGTTCCTCAATAGTTTCTTTTAAGGAGTCTTGATCTTCCTGGGTAATAAAAGCTCCCTTTGATGTGAGTCCAAAGATTTCAATCATTTCTGCTCAAGATTGCTTGTAGTTATGAACTGATTTGATAGTTTCTTTGAGTAATGCTCCATTCTTCTCGTCCAGCTGCTCAAGGTAGTTAAGGAATTGCTTTCTGGTTGGATTTTTGGACTCGCTGTTAGATGCTTCTTTAGAAAGCTGCTGAATTCTACCTTCAAGATCATCAATCTCATGCTTTCATTTTGAGTGATCTATTTGGGAAAGAATCGCATTTATCCAATTGTCTTTATCATGTTGTGACTTTCATGCAAGTACATATTTCCTACCATTTGTCCTGATTTCAAAGGAGTATGATTTCTCTTTGTTTTCATAAGCTAAAGCTTCAGACAAAAGGATTAAATTAAGACTATCCATGTTATTTCTCCATATAGTATAGATGGTCACCTGTTAAGATCAGAGTGATGTCTCTGAAATGCTCCATCTTATCTTCTCTCAAACTTCAGTTTCCTTTACGATGGAAAAAGAATTTACGATCAGTGATATTGGTAAGGAGTTCCTCAAAGAACTCTCCTTCTTTCTTAAACCTCTCAGTAAGATTTCCTCTATTTCTCTCCTAGTGTAGTCGTATGAGAGAGGAAATAGAGGTCCCATTGAAACATGATAGAACCTTTGTTCTTCATTTTTGTTTCTGCTCTTTGCAGAATGTATACTGGATAATCTCAACTATCCAATTTTCTCTTCATCACATGAGGAAGCTTAAACACAGAGTCAATATTATTGTAAAATTCTTTATTTTCTTTTGAGTCAAAGGACTTTTTATTTTTATTCGCCTTCAGGTGTCCCTCAATATGCTGAGTGTTTATGATGTAAAGTGAAAAATCCTTTCTTTTACCCTGAGACTTGCCCTGTTCAACATATCGGTTCAGAATCCGCTCGACTATTTCACCTGCAGTGATAGAGGCAGGCTCTGAGAACGGAATCTCAGATGTTCTCAACAAGTCAAGGTAGACTGTAAAAGTCGTTCTGAATCTACTCTCATGATGGACTCGATCATATTTCTCCATTAGCTATAGTGCTTTATTATTTTATATTACTAGAAAACTTAGATTTATTCAGGGGTTTTGGGGTTTTGGGGTTTTGGGG